GAGGAGGATGAAGAGCAGAAGCAGGAGGAGGAATAGGCGGGGGAGGAGGCGGTGGTGGAAAAGGAGGATCAGGAATGTAATTTTTACGACAAAACGACTGATTATGCTGGGTTAAGTGAGGCGAAGCAGGTTGAGATCGGCGCTTGCTGGACTGTTTCTGGTGGCGCTGTCGTGAGAATTGCTGATATTGCGTCAAGGCCTGTGTCAACTCCTCAGGCCGAGGTGGATAGAAGGGAATGTGGGGCCGTGCCATAGACCGAGAATTTCGGATTTTCGGTGCCGGCACTGGCATTGGTACAGCGATTGCCGGTCTCTGGCGATGGCCACCGGGTCTACGGGGACCACGTTTTACGGGGTCCATACTGGCCTGTTGATCCTGCAGGTGACAGGAAGCCAAAGCGACGTAGCAGCCTGCGGCCAGATTGAGTGCATTCCAACAGTCGGGACAATGTCCAGCCATGAATTTCGTTGTGGCCACGTCCTCTTCATCGGTATTGCTCGCCGCTTCATCACTGTCCGGCTCGGTGCCGGAGTCGGTAGGGCTGTCGGTTGTGTCCGTGTTGCTCATAACATCCCGTCTTCCCATCACTTTAGTCGACAAGTGATTTGGGCTCTGTCGACCGGTCATTGGAGCATATCGGCGTCTGCCTGGCCGAGAGTCGGCGGGTGCAGCACTCCGTGTCCGAGCCGGACGTTCGAGGCTAAGGGAGGCTGAAAAGCTACTGGAAGAGGCATTGAAAAGCAGGTCTGAGGCGGCTTCAAAGCAGGGCATGCTGTCGGCTGCCGGGCAACCGGACGAGAATCCAGCCGGTAGGGCAGCCGGAGGTCTGAGAGGAGAGGAGGAGGGCGAAGTTGGGGCTGCACCTGAAAAGGTTCCAATGTCTATTCGCGGTGTGGAAAAGAGGAGACGCGGTGTGGTTGAAGTCATCTTCCGACGGTGCTGCAGCCCCATCCGCTGCGGTAGACGTGATTGCGGCTGATGAGATGGTGAGAGGCAATTTGCTGTACTCGTCATTGTCCCGGACGGCATTGGCTCCTGAGAGGATCTGCTCATCTCGCAGTTGGGGTGGTGGAAGACATGAACTCTGCACTCGGAACACTCAGTTTTAGCAACCGGTGCCTGGATCAGATCCATGGTCGATTGACCGGAAGCTAAGCTATCTACAAGAGACTTCTTTGAGGCAGTCCAGTGTCCGAGATTGCCGTGGTTTAACAAACAACAACTGCTCGACTTGTCCGCGTTTGTAGGAGAAAGCGGGCTGCTCGAGTTGTCTACAGCGTCAATACTTTTGCCAGCAACCGGTGGGTCGAGCTTGGCATCAGAGGATCTAGAGTTGAGCAATCGAAGTGGGCTGGTGGGGCATGAGAAGACACTTATTGCTACTACCTCTGCTGAAGCAGTCGTGGAAAGTGGAATAAGCGCTTCCCGTTTTTTGTGGCATCGCAATCGGGCAGTCCCATCGGCAGCTGTACCAGCCTCATCTACCGCCTCGAGAAAGTCGGACCGATTCCTGAGCGCATGACGAGAAAAGGGAGAGGAGGAGGAGGAGGAGGAGTAGCTTGTGCACATTGAGTAAGGTCCACTGGCCTGTAGGCCATGTAAGCCGGCCCCGGAATGAGAGAATGATTTGAGAGATAGACTGCCAGATGAACTTGACCGCGCCTGGATCATCACGGGGAGTTCGGAGGCCTGGGTAACTTCAACAGTGGCGACAGCGGTTACAACGGCCGGACGGCGCTTGGACCGGGCCGTCTGCAGGCATACTTGGGTCTTCAGTGCCAAACTGACTTCAATCGGGCCGACAACTTGCACAGAGTCAGGCTGGGTCGAGGAGGCGAGACTCGTGAGTGAAGAGGCTATTTCGCAGTCTGGTTCCGGAGGAGAAGGGCTGCTCCGGCGAAGCGACGGCTCTTGTTGCTGCTGCCGCTTCTGCCACTGCTGCTGTTGCTGTTGCTGCTGCTGTAGCTGTTGTTGCGGTGACCAGACCTCTTGTGACGGCCAAGCAGAGGTTGTTTTTCCACCTGCCAACTGCATCTGAGAGGGTTGCGACTGCGTCTGGCATTGGTCAATTTGGTCGGTGATTGTAAACACCGAGGCGACTGAGGCCTCGGTTTGAGACGGAGGCGATGCAGGAGACTGACGAAAAAACCGAGCCACTGGCCAGGGAAAGGACTGCCCCGGAGGAGAGGGACGATCGGGCAGGTGAAGCGAGGAGTCTCTTCTCAGAAGACTTTTTGTATCTGGCCAATGCTCTATGTTGGCTTTATGATATAAAATTAGGACAAGAAAAATAATTTAATTCATATATTGTTTAATTAATAGTATCAATTTAAGTTATTGGGATTATTATAAATTTTAATATATATTTGCTCTATTTGAGCAAAAGTTAAATTAATAAATTAGATTATAATCATTCAGGCTGTCTGGCTGATTTGGCTGGCCAATACTATTTTACCAAGCGAATATTTTCGTATGAACCTTTACTTGTCTACAATTACAAAACATATTACTAAAATCCATCTGATCACGTTTTAGCTTGCCTCCACACTCCAAAATACTTTCCTAAGGGCCTTTTAATCCAATAATCGCTTACCAAATATTCTAATTCATAACCAGACAAATGCAACAAGTCATTCTTGTATTTCACTATGAAGATAGGGCATCGCCTATGCTCCAAACGAATGTTTTTCTATGGAAAGTAAGTTATGCAGGCCTTAGCTCAGAAATTCGTATATTGAAACAGGTCACATCAAATACGGTTAAGCTAACTGATGTTGATTCCTCCTGAAAACATACGGGAAGAGATAATAGGGGCATGCTTACGTGTTTTAGAATGAAGCAGGATTTCGAGATTGTCAGTAGGTTCATGTAGGGATCTTTGTCATCCAAGGGTGCTTAAGGTGATGAAGGACTCATAGTAAATTTTCCCAAAGCGTGGTAAGTAGACATCGTGATACAACTAAACTCCACAAAGCCTTGCTTCTAAAAGGTTTTTTCTCTAGGTTTAATTGCAATTTAAACCAATTCCCCGTGAAATTAACGTATTCCCTATCACTGACTGGGACTCATGGTAGTGTGCTGTAGTAGTAACATGTCGAAATTATTTGCTGCTGGGGATAGTGATAAGGTCTAGGCGAGTTCGGACCTGCAGTCCATCTTGGATGATAATACCTTTCGGGAATCAATGCTATATGAAATCCAATGGGAACACCAGGCCTTATCATATCGTTGTCGGAAAAATCCAATATCAGTATTTCGTTACTATAAACAAAACAGATTTAGCACAGTTCTTATTTAACCTCATTTATGCTATGGGATTCGAACTAGGACTACTACCATCTTCACCCGAAATGCGGATGTATAAGAATCACTTTGTCTGAGTGGTTTTTCTAGAGCAGTTCATTTAGGTGTGATATAGATGAATGACTAGAGTTCTGAGTCATTAATAGCTGACAACTCTGAAACATACTCTCATAGAGAGTCCAGCATGTAATCCCGGAATAGTGATAGTTCCAAGCGGTTTACAGAGTATACCTACTTTCAACCAACTTCTCCTCATCTTTTGTAACATTCTTCTCTGTCTCCACATCCACCTCTTTTGCTCCCTCTCTCCGGATAAAGTTGCCATCCGTCTGATCCGCTTTGGCTACCTGCACAATGTTAGTCTCAGACAGGCAGTCTTTCGCTTTTGTCGATGTTGTGCTGTTGTCACGACTCTGCCAGTCAGAGAACCCGCGATTGAGCTTGCCCTTTGTTTCCAATGCTGCCGTTCCTGCGAGTTTCAGAGACGGGCAGCACTCGCCCTGCACTACATTTGTCTCCTCTCTTTCCACACTCTGCAGCCAAGCTGTCGGCGGTCTCCATGGTCTCTGTTCTTCTGGTGCTAGCTGAAGGTCTTGCGGCGGCTGTTGTAGCCAACGGCTTCGTTGACGTTGTCGCTCCTGATTCCGTTGCCTCTGGCGTCGCTTCTGCCGTCTGGCCCAGTCGACACGACATGTGACCGTCACAGGTCTGCAAGTGACTCCAGTCTGTCTGCAGGCACCTGGGTATCGTCTGCCCTGAATTTCCAGCTGTTGTTGCATTTTCTGCTGCCGAGGCTGTGGCTTGCACAACTGTCCCTCTGGGCTGGTCTGTATTGAGGGTGAGCGAAGCAGACGAGTTATATCACGACAGTGCTCATCGTTGAATCCGTCAGTCAGCCCAGATTCGAGAGGCTGAGAAGCCTGCAGAACGAAACGGCCAGTTTCACTGCAATCGCCGCTGGCTCCTTCTTCGGTCTCTTCCCAAAAGTTATCCTCCAGAACTGTATCCGCCTCCGTCTCCACCTTTCGTTCACCTCTTATTTCGACAAGTCTTTCTTTCAGCTCCTTCAACAGTAATGACAACTCCTTGGATCCTTCTTTCCCCAGCCTTTCCTTTTGTTTCAACGGCTTTACTTCAATGAGCTGTTGCCTCTCCTCTTCAGCATCCAAATTAGTCTCCTCATCTTCATCCCCCATAGAAATGAATGAACTTGTCAGAGAGTATTTGGATTTTGTTAGTGTAGTGTCCGTTTGACTTACGCACAGAGGACCGGTTGCTGTCACCAACGAGAGGGATTGAAAAGGCTGACAAAGCAAGGGCATCTCGTCGGCTGTATGATCTTCAACAACATGTTCAGCTTCATCGCTGGTATCACTTTTAAAGCCTCCATGCTCTGCACTACATTCGCCACCACCACCACGTCCATCAGCGAAGCCTCGACTGTCCAAACTGTTCATTTTACCAAACTTATATGTATGTTTTACCTCAGCCATCTGTATCTTGTCACTTTCCTTCATTATCACCTCTCCCTCCTCAAACTCCCTATTTTCTACACCAATTATGCAATTTGCTGCATCCGGTATAGGTGTTATCGCAGATGCCTCTGCATCTTCGAGGACCGTCCAGACGCTGGCCTTTATGCTTTGGTCATAGAAATCATATGCTTCATTGGTTTGTGACAGACTAAAATTGTTGTAGGGTAAGGCCGTATCCGGCGATTCTTGGGAGCCCGACTTCTGGATGAAGCTGGCTGTAGTAATGGAACATTCTTGATTGTCATGTTTAGTGTCAATAAAAGGGTCGCTATCATCGTAATTTCCGTTTATTTTACTACAGTCTGCCTGCTCAAATGAAATGGTGGACGGAGTAATGACGGTGTCCTCGTCTGTAGCAGCAACGGCAAAGGCGTCGTTTTGAGGATCAGATGGCCGACTACTATCATTCGCGTTATCGTCCCCTTCAATACGGGCCTTCAAGTCGATCTCCATGACTTCAGAATCCCGACTACTCGCATTTTTCTGGCTATTGGAAGGAATCCCGGCGCCTGCCATACATAATTTAGAGTGACTAGTAGCCATCGAGGCTCTTCCTGTGCCAATGAGCAGATAGTCGCGTAGTAATGTGAAGATTTCTATCGCCTGGAAGGCAAATTGACAAAAGTTGACAGAAAGTGGATAAAATAGCATGAAATAGTATATGGAGACAATGCTACATGCAGAGTAAGGATACACACATAAAAAGCATAAGTAAATCAACATAACTAAAGCAATAAGATTAAACTTATGTATGGATTATTAGTGCACTTGATCTAAAATAAATGTGTAATTAATTAATTTAATTAATCATAGATAATTTTTTTCAAAATAACATCTTCATGAACGTGGGGTGTTAAAAATATTTACATGGGACAATATCTGACACTCTTTAGTTACTATTTTAGGCTGGCTATACAAAAATGGGGAATTATAATAAAAGCTATAATTAATCTAGGTTTCATAAGGTGAGGAATGTTTAATAGTCGAATTTTCTCACAATTATATAAGAAAGCTTCATTTTGCCTTAGAAATTCACTTAAGCTTGCTTCCTAGAGGGTAATCTCATCAAGAGAGACGGCAATATGTCAATATCAGAAACAAAATAAAGTGGTCCAGTCGCCTTTTTTGACTTAAATAGTCATTTTCTCGTATCTTTTATTAGCAAGTAAAGTCATTATCTGCCAATCTTCTTTGATGCATGGTTTGTGTAAAAGTGGTTATGGACTGATAGTAGAATTTTATTATAATTAAAGGAATGTACTTAACGTTTTCATTGTATTTTAAATTGGCCTTGTTTCCCAAAAGGTATCTGCATCCAGGATTGATTTCAGTTTCGATTTCGTGACAGTTTCGAAGCTTACTTCATCGCACAAAAGTAACGTATTTGAATCTTAAATCTGATATTGGAAAGACCTGGCTTTCCTTGAAATTCACATCAGTCCTGTGACCCGAGAGTATTCGTAGCAGTGGGGAGTTTTTATAAGGCGTCGAGATTATTCACTGCACTACCCGAGTTCGTTTTTAGTTTATCATACTGATGAGACCTGGGCGAGGTCGAAACCAGGCTTAGTGAAATTAACTGTAAATTTGAGACCTGCACCTATGACTATAGACAAATTTAACTGTCACTCTTTTATCGCTTTATGTGACCTAGGATAATTGAAACTCTTATTCCAAATTTTAAGATACTCTCAAATCATACTTTCACTGAATATAGTAAAATAGCATGTTTTATTAGTATATTCAATTTTTATAAGACATTATAGCACTTTATTGCAAAGTTTTGCTACAATTTACCTAATAAACACAAATTAACCTTTAGGGCAAATCCACCATTTCGTTTGGGTTTGTTGTAAGAGCTGTATTCATTATAGCCCAATAACGTGATAAATGACATATAGTTGAATTTTTCAACATTTATATTAATATGCCCGACGATTCCATAGAAGTTCACCTAGACTTACCTCCCAGAAAATATTTTCATCCAAACTGGAAATGAGTTACAACCTCGCATTAATCTCATCACCAACCCCAGGTAGCTCAACATATATTTTTTTATATTATCACTCCGTCGTGCTACCGCGGATACCATTGGTTCACAAGTCAAACGGTATTTTCCTTGAAAGCTATCTATAAATTGTTATAAAATTAGTTCTTTATCGCCTTATACGAACTGGAGTGAAAATAGCCCTTAATATTAACCT